AGATACCATTTAAAAAATCGGAGTTGTAATAAATGAGCATCTTGATTTTAGTTCCTGCTGTTGGGATTAGTTGGGAGATTAGAGTCTATGACTGCTACGCTTGACTGTTGAATTTCTTTCCTTTTAAAAAATTTTTCTTTTGCAGTTGGCCTGTACCCTTGATGTTGGTGTTGTAACACTTAACTCTAGCCAGCTGAGCCAACTGGTCATCCTTGTTGAATCTCAATCAAGTATTTCTTTCCTCTTTTCTCAGGGTGGTTGTGTAGTTTAGCTTTGAAACTAGTGTAGACTGAAATATTTTTTTTTGCTTAAAATACCCTTGGTGCTTTTTAGATTTTGTTTTGTTGTGTTTTTTTGTTCCAGTTTTTTTGTGCAATTTAGGAATTGATAGAGTGAGGACATGAGCAATGTGTCAGTTGGTGCCTTAAGTCATCGAAGCAGGCCTCTGTCCTTGATTGGGTTTCCTGGTCACTGAAATGCTTGCTTCAGGCCCGTGAGGTGTGAGTGTGTGAAGTGTTTGCTCCTGTGCTTCCACTGGCGTGAAGTTAAAGCACTTGAGTGGACTGACTTTCTCGTGACTGTTATGTTACTGTGCTATCAGGTTCTCACTCTTGGTGAAAATGTATGGGTTTAAAAATCCTTCACACTTCCTCACTTTTCTTCTTTAAGGCTTTTTGTTTGTATGTAAATATTTGTTAAAATGTGTTTTGTGCTCAGTTTTTCACACATTCAGTTCAGTGTGATTTTCTGGTCATCTGTTTGACATTGTTATTTAGATTGCCAATTAGTTTATCGACTTGCTAATACAAGAGGTCTTCAAAAAGTTCTTGGAAGGAATAGCTCGTGTTATGGGCTCCTTAATGGATTGGGTTTAATGTTCTGAGAGAATAGCAGGATTTAACACAGTTTTACAGAAGTATTTAATATACAACACCTAGAAAAATGATAACAGACATGGGTCTGTTTCACGTAATGTTTGTATCTCAGAATACAGAGTGTGCCTAAAGATGCCTATAAAATTATCAAGGATACATGTTTTTACTTTTAACATCTGTATTAGTCAGGGTTCTTCAGAGAAACAGAACTCATGGGAAAAACATATATTATGAGGAGTAGGTTCATGTGATTATGGAGGCTGGCAAGTAAGATCTGCAGGCCCGATGTGCCAGTTCCATTTGGAAGCCGCCAGGCAGCAGGAGACTTCTCTTCTTCTGGGGTGGTGTGGGGTGTGAGCCAGACTTTTGTTCTGTTCAGGCCTTCAGCTGATGGGTGGATGCCCACCTGCATTAAGGGAGGGCCATCTGCTTTACGCAGTCTACTGATTTAATCTCATCCAGAAACACCCAGAATAACGTTTGACCAAATGTTTGGGCTACCCGTGGCTCAGTCAAGTTGACACATGAAAGAAACTACAAGTACGGCTCTTGTCAACTTGGCACCATATGCACTGACTTAAACCACATTTAAACTCCAAATGAGGACATTAAATGAGGTCATAATTTGATCTAACATGATACAGATATCCTGCAGGCAACCAATGAAAATACATTAATCTGTTCCCCTGTGTAGACAGAGTTCTCGAGTGATGTTTTCTCTTCTCATTGATAACCTGTGATTTTATAACCTGTACACTTACATTACATAAGAGGATAAGAGAGGGAAGAAAACAAAGATATGGCTTAAATATACGTATATGTTATATATGCACAAACATTCATAACTGAACCAGGAGGTTCAGTCCTTGTTTCTGTAACTGATGACGTGGTGGTAGCTGTTATTTATAACTAGCTGTTCCATTACCCATTCTGTGTTCCTATTGCCTTCAGCAAGCACCTCGGTTGTGGTTCTTTACCTGGTGAGGTAAAAGTAAAAAATGTTGGTAGCACATTTGGTTAAATTATCTTAAGATTTATTTCTCAAATGCAAAGGTAATATTTGTTTTTTTTTTAAATGCAAAAGTGATACCTAATACATACTGGATGTAGGAATTTGGAAAATAGAAATGAGGTGAAAAGGTGGAGGGGGAGTCACCTTTTGCTGGTCCCCAGGTGAAGCCCCACTGTGTGGTTGAGACGTGCCCACATGTTGTCCTGCCTTGCTCTGCAGCTCCAACTCTGTATTCAGCACACTCCCATTTATGTACCTGCTCCTGTGTGGGACAGTCAAGTTATTTTCATTATCAAAATTGATTTGAACTTAGTGCAGTAATTATACATCATTATGAGTCCTAAAGTTCTTTTCTCTTAGTACTGTCAACATACCTATCTTAAGTGAGACTTTTCATTTTTAGGATAACTTTTGTGACTTTAATATTTGGAATTATGTGAATTAAAATTCAATTAAAATTCTAAGTTGTAGAAAATCATGTTTAGACTGCGGAATACCAATAGTGAATGATAGAAGATAAACGATTTTTTCGTACAAGAAAGCATAACTGAAAATCTGCTGGCCTTCTCGTGACATTATTTCTAAACCAGTTTTCAAGGTAGCTTATGAAGAAGGTGATTTTATGATTATGAATTTGGTCGTTTTAATTGAGCTTGGAATGTAAACCTGTTAAAATCACATGTTTGATAGTAGTATTACTCAGACACTGGTTTAAGATGCACCCAAAAGCCAAATGCCTTGTGGACAACTTTTAAGGGTTCAGTTGGCATATGAATTTAAAGAAGTTGTAACTAAGCTAATTGTTGTAGCACTTATTGATAAAAGGGAAATTGCAGAAGGGTGCAAAAATTGAATGAATTTCTTCAATGTAAATAAAGTTTTAGAGTGTGCAAAAGAATAACTTGGCTTCAGAGTTCAGATAGCTGGCTATGGAAACACTTGTTAGTATTTACATTCAGAGAATTATTGTCTAGTAAGTTTTAACTGTTTTGTAACATTAATATTTCTTAACTTGGCTAGTAGATTAAGTTACTTATCTGCCATTTTATAGATCTGCTATAGAAAATGTCACTGGCACAGTTGGTGTGTAGGCTTATGGCAGTAATTTTGAAAGTTACATACTATTCAGAATGCCTGGATTTTATTTGAATGGGATGAAGTCTTTGTAGCCTCTGGAGAAATTCACACAATGTTACTAGCTTTAGATAAAGGTTATGTTGTAACTTCTTTCTCCTATTCTTACTTTACTTTAATATTTCACAATGGGACAGTAAGATTTGTTTACAAGTAGGTTATGAATGAACAACTTAAAATTATCTCGTTTTTTAAAGCGTAGCCTTATGTGGAATGTGGGAACTAAGTTGCAAAATCAGTAAAATTTTGGGGTCAACGCTAACCATTCCAGCTCTTCCCTTCCTTCCCTCTGTGCACATCACCCCAGAACTGACTTTCTCGTGGGGAGGTGGGGGTGGAGGGGCAGGTCTCCACAGGGGTGTCCTTGCGCTGTTGCTGTACATGCCTCCCTCCTCTCCTCTTGTCTCTCTCTCAGCTCTGAGGAGAAGCCATCAGTGACTAGTTCTCTGAATGTTTCTTTTTCAGGCCCATTTTTCTGGACTTAGCATTAGGTAAAGCTGACTGGCCAGTTTTTGTTCAGAGCAGCTCTCTAAGAGGTCATGTCTTTGCCTCTTCTCATGTCCTCATTTCAAGCTTTCTTTAAGCTTCCTTAGCTCCTCTCGGGTGGCAAATGGACCTAGAACTTCAGCTGCTCACCTTTAAGTAGAACCTTTCAGGGTGCATCCCCCAAGCACCGCCATGTGCTGCCTGTCTCGCTCCCTCCTGTCTGTCATTTGCTTCCGGTTACGGTTTGTGTGGGTGCTCCAGTGCTCGCCCTGTGCTAACCTGTTGTATTTACTTCCTCGTTCTCTTGTCAGCTTAGATGCTTTCCACTCCCTGCTCTGCTTCCTCTTGCTTCTGGCTTGCAAACATGCCATACTTACTGCAGTTTTCTGTGTCTCACTTGCTTGCCTTTATGTCCTAATGCACCCATCAGGATTTCTTCTTTTTATTTCTCACAGATTGCCCATTTCCCTGAAAAAATACAGCATTTATTAGTTACATAGAACCCAGGTAAATTAAATAGTTTGTGTAATTCATGTTTTCAGTAAGTACTCATTGATTGATAACAACAACAAAGTAAAACTATACTGTATTAACTTGAGTAAAGATTTTTTCTTTGTTTTCCTTTTTTTTGCTTAGTATTTTTATTTTTAGCAGCATTTTGGTATTTCTGGTAGATTTATGATGCCTACTTGTGTCAGTAAAATATCGTAAAGCATGTTGTTATGTCTGCCAATTAACATTTATTCAGATTCGACTTCTCTAACCCTAACTAATGCTTTAAAGGTTTTTTTTGAGACATTGAATGTGTAGAAAAGTAACAGGAATTCCCAGATATCCTTGCCCAGCTCACCAGCTGTTTACGTTTTGCCCCCTTGCTGTGCCACTGTCTCTCCGTGTTTATCCATGTGCACGTTAGAAGAATCCATTCTTGTGTTTATTTCTGAATTACTCTGGAGAAAGCAACCGCAACTCTGTGGAATATAACAACTTAAGAGTAAAACTGTATTAACTTTTCACATGGTGGCAATAGGGACAGTATCTAAAGGATGTTGAATGAAGGGCTATGTTAAATCTGTCAGCCACCCCGAGTCTTATGTGTGTAGACGAGGGTACTTCAAAATGTTTGTAGGGAAATGTAATTGAAAGATAATACAAATATTTCCATGAACATTTTAAAGACCCTTTTATATGCTGTTTTGAAAATGAACAGTCTGGTTATTTCATAATGTATTCTGCTTTTAGTTGAATTAAACTAGTAAAACTGTTGGGTGAGATGGTCTTTTTGCTATTTTATTATGATTTATTGTTGGTGAGTTTTTTGTTCCTAATGGAACGGTATTGTTGTAAGGCATTAACATTTTCCGTTATTGCAGCTCTCCCGAGAAAAAAATTAACTTGAATAAAGATTTTTTTCTTTGTTTTCCTCTTTTTTTTTGCTTAGTATTTGTATTTGAAATAAAGATTTTATAACATGCATTTATGTTTGTTTTTAGAAGACCCATTTGAGGACTTTTTTGGGAATCGAAGGGGTCCCCGAGGAAGCAGAAGTCGAGGCACGGGGTCATTTTTTTCTGCCTTCAGTGGATTTCCATCTTTTGGAAGTGGGTTTTCTTCTTTTGACACAGGTATGAGATTTCTAGATTTTAATCTCTTATTTGAACACAAAGTAGCATTTATAAACAGGGTTTTCTTTTCAGTAGAGCTTTTTGAAGTATGCGTATGTTTGGTAGAGTGGCTTTGTAGATTTGCCAACGTTTTTTGTGTGTACAAATCTGTGTTTAATCATAACCTTCATTTTTTTCCTAATCTTCCTAAGAATGTTATACTTGAAAATATACTTGTAATCTTATTATTAAGGTCTAACATTTAATGACATTCTTAGCTAAAAAGAGTAATTGTGTATTTTGGGTCAGTAACTGCAGAATAACCCACTTGGACAGTCTTATTAAATCTGTCATGTTATCTAACCTCCTTTGCAGTTAAACCAAAAGTACACAAACAGGGAGTATCTTGAGTGTTCAACTGCATGGAATCAGAAGATTGGGCTTGAACACTGGCCCACAGCTAGGTGTGTGACCACAGTCGGACTGACCCACTAGAGAAGTGCCCACCCACACACTGTACCTGTTAATAGTTAACATATGGAAAATTAGTTTATGACCTGGAGTAATATGTATATATCATGATATAATTGTGTCTTACTTGAAGAATTAGAATGTTGCTGGCCACTTTTTTTTTTGAAAGCACATCCAGTTCCTTTCAATAGATAAGTTCCTGTTCTGATTGTATTTTTAGGCCTCTGTGCTAAGAATTTGCTTTGCTTGTTACACAGGCTGCCCTCTTCACAATACAGCTCAAAATTTTATTTCCCGTTAATGTTGTGCTAGTTGCATCTAGGTAAATAGTCCATTGATTGGACTTCATTTTTTTTTTTTTTCTTTTTTGTGACCGGTAAGGGGATTGCAACCTGTGGCTTGGTGTCGCCCACACTGCGCTCAGCCAGTGAGCGCACTGGCCATCCCTATATAGGATCCGAACCCGCGGCAGGAGCGCCGCTCTCTCCCAAGTGAGCCACGGGGTCGGCCCTGGACTTCAATTTTTGATGTATTTTTCCCCAATAGATTCTCTCATTTTATACCACGTAATATGCTAGTCACAAGTTAAGAGGTAATAAGAGAAAGCTGGTTAAAAATATCGAGGAAATCATGCTTCATTTAGGAAGTGTGTTCCTAGCATATGGAGGTGAGGGATGTGTGTGTGGAAAACTGTCCCTACTTTTCAGGAGCCTTACAAAGCATCACGTGGCCTCAGGCTCAGTCTAGACCTGTTCTGTAGCCACCAGCTACATGCAGGACTGAGCGCTTGAGAGCTGGCCCAGTCCAAATTGAGATGTGTTGCAAGAGTGAAATATACGTGGGATTTCAAAAACCAAATATGAAAAGTAATGTAAAATATCTCAATTTTTTTATATTGCAGGTTGAAAAATGGTACTATTTTGGATATAGAAGATTAAATAACGTATTATTGTCTTTTTTTGTCTTTTTTCCGTGTCCGGCAATGGATCGCAACCCTCAGTGTTGCCCCCGTACTGGACCGGGGACCGGCAACGGGATTGCAACACTCGGTGTTGCTCCCGCGCCTCGCTCAACCCGTGAGCGGGAACCGGTCTGTATGTGGGATCCGAACCCTCGGGCGGGAGCGCCGCCGCGCTTCCCAAGCGGCGCACTATCCAGTGCACCACCGGGCCGGCCCAAATAACGTATTATTAAAATTAATTTCAGTGCTTTCTGTTTTTTGGTGAGGACGTTAGAAAATGTGAAATTACATATGTGGCTCCTATGATATTTCTTTTGGATATTACTAGTCTTAATAGTATGACAACTTAGATGATTAAATCATGTTCAAGAGTATATACATTGTTTTAATGTAAACGTTTTGGAAATAGGACAATTATTTAGGTCCTTAACAAGCAAACCAGCTTTCAGTATCAGAGATAGGTTGTTGTAGTGTGACTCGTAAGAATTAATGTTTTTTAGTGTTTGTAGTGTGACAGCTGTGTAATTGAGGATGGCGTCTATGAACTGTAAATCCATAATTTTTCCATGATGACTTGCAGTATTCTTTTTTTCCTTTTTTTTTGTCTTTTTTTTTTTTCATGTCTGGCAACGGATCGCAACCCTCAGTGTCGCGCCCGTACCGGACCGGGACCGGCAACGGGATCACAACCCTCGGTGTTGCTCCCACACCTCGCTCAGCCAGTGAGCGGGAACCGGTCTGTATGTGGGATCCGAACCCTCGGTGGGAGCGCCACCGCGCTCCCAAGCGGCGCACTGTAGCAGTGTGCCACCGGGCTGGTCCAACTTGCAGTATTTGTTCTAAAATTAGTTTTTTAAAAGAGTTTTATCCCTGTGGTCCCATTGCAAGGAGAAAGTAAACCAGATGGGCTCACTGTTCTGCAGTGGGGAGGCCATTCTGTTCCTAGGTACATGTCCCTGTCCATTCACTCCCTCTGTGATGCACGGTGCTGAGTAGGTCACCCACAAATTGGGAGTATCTTTGGCACATTGGAAATGTCAGTGAGGTCCAGTGAAGCACTGTGTAGAGGAGAGGGGGAGAGACAATGTGCCTTGAAAGAAGTTGCTGGTGGTTCTCTCCTGTTTGCCTACAGCGCATGTTCAGTGATGTGACAGAGAGTGTCTGTCCTTCTTTCCTCTGGGCACCATGGCAGTTCAGCTTAGGCCTGGCTCTTACGTGGTTCGTTATTCATCGGTTCCACATCTACTAAATTTTGAAGCTCAGAAATTTTCGTATCGAGTTAATACTTGACATGTTAGTCCGTAATCAACTTTCTCTTCTGTTTTTCTTGCAGGATTTACTTCATTCGGGTCACTAGGTCATGGGGGCTTCACTTCATTCTCTTCCACGTCGCTTGGTGGGAGTGGGATGGGCAACATTAGATCTATATCAACTTCCACTAAAATAGTTAATGGCAGAAAGATCACTACAAAGAGGTATGTACGGTGGTATTTTTGTTAAGTGTTTTGTCTGTTCCAGTAAGCGGGTACAGTGTCTTATTGGTGCTGGGTTTATTTTGCACAGTTCCAGAGTGTGAAGTGTAGGTGTGTACTGTTTCAGGCGCCATGGGGATCTTATGCGTAATCTCTTGATTAATTAGCTAGAGCTTTCCTTTTCAACATTTACTTAATGTTAACTTATTTGCAGTAAATTTTCACAGCATTGTTAGAATGGTAAAATGGGAAATCATTAATAGTAAAACCATTATTATTTTTGAATAATAGTATCTCTGCATGTATTTATCATTCAGCTTTGCAGTATTTGAGACAAAACTCATTTTTGTCAGATAAATCTATTTTTGAAAAGATTTATTGTCAACAGATTGTTGGCTTTAGCTGTTTTTCAGCCTGAAAATTATTTTCATACATCTGTTGTAGTAATGTCTTTTAAAAGTATTTATACACACTTATGCATGTATTTACTTCAAAAAAATGTTTTTAAATGAATTTTATCCTACAGAATTGTCGAGAATGGTCAAGAAAGAGTAGAAGTTGAAGAAGATGGCCAGTTAAAGTCCTTAACGATAAATGGTAAGGAGCAGCTGCTGCGCTTGGATAACAAGTAATTCATCGCACGCATTTAACAGAAATGTTACTATAACAAGCACCATTTGAGGATTAACAGGAACTTTTTTTTGAAGATTTCAAACGAACTCGACTTTCAGTATAATTGTACCTAATCTAAAGTATTTATAAACAGCTCATCGGAGCCCCTGTTTGTCATAGACTTTTGAGTTTATTGCTGGGACCACATAATAGGACCATTTTTTTTTTGTCTTTAAAATTGTTGTAAATCTCTGTATGCACTTTGCTTTTTTATTAAACGTAATCCAAGGTGAGCCGTGACTCTTTAGTAGTGGTAGGACAAGACTGTACACTAACACCAGCATGGACCTGCTTTTCCATTGTGTTTGAAATGTGAGCCAAGTGCTGAGCCTGCTGTGAAGTTAACATTGTCAGGACGAGTCTTCTGCAGAAATAATTTCAGTTCTTTTCAGTATTTAGTAGTGAAAGATATTAATGCATTAATGGTAATACATTTCTGGTTTAATGTAAATTAAGGATGTTTTCTAGTTGTGCATGAATGCTGGCAACTTAGTAAGTTTTGACAATTGTTCAAATATGTAATGTTAAGCTTAGGTTTAAAAAGTAAAGCTGGTAAACTGGGTCTTTGTCATTTGCTTTTAAAAAAAAAGATAATAAATGCGAATGTGTTTGGTGCATTCTTTCCTGAGTGGGGTCTGTGGCCTTCTTGTGTCTGTGTATGATTTGTGTCTGGGCTTCTAGTGTCGCTTCGTTAGCATTTGCTCTGCTCACTAAGGTGTGTGCCCAACTTAAGTTTCATGTAGACATTTTCTTCAGCATACTTGGAGAGTATATGAAGATTTTCCTATTTATAAGTAATGATTTAGCAGTTCATTGGACATTTTATTGTAACATTTCTGCAGGGGAGGGAAGAAACCGTTATATGATTCTTCATCTTTAAAAGCACATCCTAGTTTTCTAGGATATATTTGATTTTAAGGTATTTTGTTTGTAAGGACAAAATATGCATGGTAAAGTCATGGAATAATTTAGGTGTGAGCAAAAATAAAGGTATTTCTTTTGTTTCTCAATCTGTAAAGTCTTTCATGATCGCCACTGGTATCTAGTATTCCGGCCATAAAGGATATTAAACTAGACTTTGCATTTAAACTACCGCAGTCTGTTGTTTTGAAAATAAGCTGTATGGAAACTGCTTAGATGGATGGGCAGTGACTATACGGTTATCCCCGACAAACACATTTCTGTCACCGTTGGCTTAGTTGGAAAGTTTATGGAAATTGATCATGTACGTTAGAGTCTTTAAGGAACCTATGTATTGTTATTAGAAAATAAGTAAAAGCTATTTTAAGAAATCCCATTGGAGCTTTTTTTTCCCCCTTTTTGTCTTTTTTACTGACCGGTAACGGTGTTGCGCCCGCACCGCGCTCAGCCAGTGAGCGGGAACCGGTCTCCACATGGGATCCAAACCCTTGGCAGGAGTGCCGCCGCGCTCCCAAGCGGCGCACTGTAGCAGTGCGCCACCAGGCCGGCCCCCCCATTGGAGCTTTTAATAAAAAGCGTAGCAAAAGTTAAATTTAGTATTTGAAAACAATTGAACTAAAGAAAACAGCTACGAGTGATGTGTTTGAATGTGTTGTGTTATGAAGTATAACCTAGTGTGCAGCTATCCGTGTCTTTGGATAAAGTGGGTAAGTAGCCATGGGAGAAGAGTTGACACCTTTTATCCAGTGTTGTAATATCTCGTTCTACAACTTGGATTTTAGTATCAGAAAGCCTACTTTGGTTTATGCCATCAGGACAGATGGCTTCTATGTCACTACACTAAATGAGAAATTCAAGTAGATGCATGGGACTTTTTGACCCCAAGAATTTTACATGTTTCATTATGGGTGGGATGAGTAGTATGATAGAGCAGTGGTGAGATGTCACCTGGGGGTGACATACTGGAAAGTTCCAGGCTTTATGAAGTGTTTAATGCAACTCCAGCTGTGAACAGTTTACTTGATATTACAGGTAAAAGATGTTTGACTCCTAAGGGATGTGCCTGGTGAAATCTTTTTTTGAGGAGAGTATATAGTAAAATGTTTATCACTTGCATTTGAGGAAATTACCTTTATTTCCCTCTTCTGTTGACAGAAGTGTTAATGTTATTAAATTATTAATAAGTATGAAAATTATTTCTTGCTGTCATCTTGTTTTGATTTTTTTTTTTTTCGTGTCCGGCAACGGATCGCAACCCTCAGTGTCGCACCTGTACCGGACCGGGACTGGCAACGGGATCGCAACCCTCAGCACTGCACCCGCACCTCGCTCAGCCAGTGAGTGGGAACCGGTCTGTATGTCGGATCCGAACCCTCGGCGGGAGCGCCGCTGCACTCCCAAGTGGCGCACTATAGCAGTGCGCCACCGGGCCGGCCCGTTATTTTGATTTTTGAACATAAGTAAGTTCATTCCTAAAGTATTGAGTCCAGACTGTGTGAAAGGAGCTTTCAGAAGTTATGAAATTGTTTTGGGCATTGATAGCATTACTCAAGTAAGTGATGACTTGGAAGAGTAGTATTTAAATTACAGGTTCTGGTGAATTTGACAGTCCTTTTGCTCTCTGTTTTAAATATTTCTCTAGTTGTGAACACCTTTGAAGATAGGACACTGAATGCTCACTCCAAAATTACTTGTGTCCAGGCGTGCTCAGTTCTGCCCAGTTCCACTCGGAGACTAGACCCCTCTCCGTGGGTGTGTGCTGTCTGTAGTGTTTGGTGTGTGCACAGTATCCTTGTTTGGGACGACATCTGTCTGGAGGAGACATCCTTCTGCTGTACTTTTCTCATCTGCCCTATTTTCCTCTTCTGTGTGGTACCCCCACTGCCACCCCTTTTTGATTCATTTCAGTGATAAATTATTCCCTTTATTTCTGTCATTTATAATATATAAGCCTAAGATTCCAAAGATTCCAGATTTGATTTTGAAAAGTCAGTAACTTTTTTTAATAAGATGAAAAATATCAGTAGTGGCATAAATGATGACTTAATCTTTCTTTCTCTTTAAAGTTCCTTAAAGGGCAGATGTAGAGTTGGCGTTACCATTTACTAAAATTACTCTCGAAATAATTGTGTACCTAGTCTGTGTAGTAGATATTCCTTACAGTATGGCAGTATCTACTAAAGCTTCCTGATTTTATTTTCTTGATTACCTGCTAGCTGTAATTGCTCTATAGAATACTGATCTTGTTTTCTTTTAAGCACTTCAGAAATGTTTTTATTTTTAGAGGATCCATTAGTAGCTTATAGTTGGTTTTCAGTATCTGCTATTGCTTCTCAGTGGTGATGAAATTTAGCCATTAGCATGTTCAGTAGCAGGATGGAGCCAGATGTTACCATTTCTGGAGACTTTCAAGCACAAAATTAAGTTCAGTGAATTCAAATACTTGATGTTGTGTGGTCAAGATGGAGTTGAGTTTTACAACTCAGTATCTTTTTTCTTTATGCAAATGTAGGCATGGATTTATGTTACCCTTTGAGGTCTTTATAAGATGTTCAGTACTTATACACTGAGTGGTTTAATATGATATAAGTCCTTTAACAAATATGTTTCCTCTACGGTTGCTTAAATTTTTGAATTCTTCCTCCATTGCTGTTTCCTGAGCCCTTAAGTCAGTCTAATCCTGCCACTTTCGTTTTAGACACTTTCAAGAGCTTCTGAACTGTGGAAAGCAAACCTAATTCTGAATGGGTCAGGTATGGTCATATGGGTGACTTTTAATTCTTGTTTTGAAAACTTTGAATATGCTATTCCCACCTTGTCAGGAGTAATTAGATGTAGACTCTGGTACCGAAGACTGACCAACAGTTGAAATGTCCAAGACTCTCTTTTTGGCTACTAAATTGGTTATTTCATTTTGCTGTTTAAAAAGGTGAAAGGAGGGGCTGGCTGGTTGGAGTGCATGGTGCTGGTGGCACCAAGGTCACAGGTTCGGATCCCTGCACTGGCCAGCCGCCAAAAAAAAAAAAAAAAAAAAAAAAAAGTGAAAGGGAAAGTTACAACAGCTCTTGCTGTGTTAGAAATATGTCAGTTGGTTAGAGCATGGTAGAGTGTGGTGCTGATAACATCAAGGTCTTCTGGGTTTCATCCCCGTACTGGCCAGCTGCCAAAAAAAAAAAAAGTCACTGTGACCACTGATTTCCCAAGCCTAGAAGTACCTGGAGTTTTGAAGTCTTGTTAGAAAAAAAGTATAATCGAGCATCAAAAGACCTGTCACTGCTTATTTGCTTTTGTAAATACTTGTTTCCTTCTGTGCAGTATTGCGGTTGAGTGTTTCAAACTCTTTTTTAAGGAATTAACTCTGAGTTTGATGATGTGGGTGAGTTACACTCTCAGAACCCTGACTGGATCCCACTCCCCCATGCCCCCATACCGTTCCATTCAAAAAATAAAATCCCATCCTGGTGTGCAACCCCAAATAAATAATAGGCCCCCTGAGGGCAGGAATTTTGGTGTGTTGTGTTGTTACTGCATCGCAGCATGTGTGAATATTTGCAGCATTGTATACATCCAGAGTGGTGACTGCCACCCACCCCACTCATGTCTGAAGTGCCCCCGGAATACCACTTGCTACCTGGAGTTTACAGCTGAAGCACATTCTCTCACATTTCTCCTGGAATGCATGCCAGTCAGTGGCTCTAAGTCTGGTTTCGGAGGGCTTGTGCATGCCAGAAGGAACTGCATCTTGGCTTATGTCATTTCTGCTCTCTGGAGCACTGAGTAGTGAACGTTAATGTAGCGTTAAGTATCACCTCTAGATAGTACAGTGCAATTTCCTATTTCATTAGGATGGTTTTTTTTTTTCTTAAAAAGAGACACCAGTGGTATCATCCTATTTTTCCAACTTTTCTATTCTCTCCTTGCCAGCTGGTTACTGATAACTGAAGTGATAAGGTACTCAGGCATTGTCACTTGGAAAGTCACTTCCAGAGCAAGAGGGAACAGGG